AAAGGAGAGAACCCTTAAACCCAATTTTGGGACATATGTTGGACTGCAATTCTGGGGATGATGGGATTTATAGTCCAAGACGTTTAAGGATCAGGAAGAACTACATCTCTCAGCCTCAAAGGCAACCCTTTGAGCACATCTTGCCGAGGAAAAGGAGTATACAAAGGATATAAAACATTTATCTCTATCGATCGATCAATCAATCAATCTATCCATTTATCTCTATCAGTTTATTATTTATCTCTCTCTGTCTCTCTCTCTGCTTATCTCTATCTATCTGTTTTTATTTTATAATCTGTCAATTATCTCTCTCTATTTTTCTCTGTCTGTCATTGATGTATCTATCTATCATCATCTCTCTCTATTTATCTATCTGTCTGTATCTATCATCATCTCTCTATTTATCTATCTGTCTGTCTATCATCTATCTATCTATCTATCTATCTATCTATCTATCTATCTGTATCTATCTATCTATCTATCTTTGTCTCTTTATATCTCTGTCTATCTATCTGTCAACTCTATCTCTATTTTTCTATCTCTTGATCATCTCTCTCTATCTCTCTCTATCTGTATCATCTATCATTTATCATCTATGTATGTATCTATCTATGTATGTATCTATCTATGTATGTATCTATCTATGTATGTATCTATGTATCTATGTATCTATCTATCTATCTATCTATCTATCTATCTATCTATCTATCTATCATCCCTCTGTGTGTTTCTATTTTTCTATCTCTCAATCATCTCTTTGTCCGTCCATCCATCCATCTATCTCCATTTTTCTGTCTATCATCTCTCTCTGTCTCTATCTCTCTATTTATCAGTCTATCTATCTGTCACCTCTCTGTCTCTATCTCTATTTTTCTATATCTTGATCATTTCTCTCTATCTGTATTTCAGCTATCTATCTATCTATTAATCATCTATCTGTCTATCATCTATCTATCTATCTGTCTATCATCTCTCTCTTTGTCTTATCTATTTTTATCTCTCGATCATCTCTATCTGTCTATCTATCTATCTATTCTATCTATCTATCTATCTATCATCTATCTATTATCTATCTATCCTATCTATCTATCTATCATCTTTCTATCTATCATCCCTCTCTTTTTCCATCTCTATTTTTCTATTTTTTATCATTCTCTCTGTATTTTAGCTGTCTGTCTATCTATCTGTCTGTCTGTCTGTCTATCTGTCTCTCATCTATCTATCCATCTGTCCATCCGTCAGTCCGTCCGTCCGTCCATCCAGATGGATTGATCGATAGATATATGATGGATTGATCGATAGATATATAATCCATCCATGTATCATCTGTCTATCATCTGTCTATTATATATCTATCTATCATGTATCAATCTATCTATCTATCTATCTATCTATCTATCTATCTATCTATCATCTGTCTGTCCATCCGTCCGTCCGTCTCATCCTATCTATCTATCTATCTATCTATCTATCTATCTATCTATCTATCTATCTATCTATCGATCATCTTTCTTTCCCTCACTCTCATCTATCTATCTATCTATCTATCTATCTGTCTGTCTGTCTGTCTGTCTGTCTGTCTGTCTGTCTGTCTGTCTGTCTATCTATCTATCTATCTATCTATCTTTTCTCTCTCATTGTTCAAAGCATCTGTTTTTAATATCTATCTATCTATCTATCTATCTATCTATCTATCTATCTATCTATCTATCTATCTATCTAACTATCATCTATCTATCTCTATCTATCTATCTATCTATCTATCTATCTATCTATCTATCTATCTATCATCTATCTCCATTTTTCTATCATCTCTCTCGGTCTCTATCTCTCTTTTATCTATCTGTCATCCCTCTTTGTCTCTATCTCTATTTTTCTATCTCTTGATCATCTCTCTCTGTCTATCATTCATCTATCATCTATCTATCTATCTATCTATCTATCTATCTATCTATCTATCTATCATCTATCTCCATTTTTCTATCATCTCTCTCGATCTCTATCTCTCTTTTATCTATCTGTCATCCCTCTTTGTCTCTATCTCTATTTTTCTATCTCTTGATCATCTCTCTCTGTCTATCTATCTATCCATCTATCTATCTATCTATCTATCTATCTATCTATCTATCTATCTCTATCATCTATCTCCATTTTTCTATCATCTCTCTCGGTCTCTATCTCTCTTTTATCTATCTGTCATCCCTCTTTGTCTCTATCTCTATTTTTCTATCTCTTGATCATCTCTCTCTGTCTATCATCATCTATCTATCTATCTATCTATCTATCTATCTATCTATCTATCTATCATCTATCTCCATTTTTCTATCATCTCTCTCGGTCTCTATCTCTCTTTTATCTATCTGTCATCCCTCTTTGTCTCTATCTCTATTTTTCTATCTCTTGATCATCTCTCTCTGTCTATCAATCTATCTATCTATCTATCTATCTATCTATCTATCTATCTATCTATCTATCTATCATCTCTCTCGATCTCTATCTCTCTTTTATCTATCTGTCATCCCTCTTTGTCTCTATCTCTATTTTTCTATCTCTTGATCATCTCTCTATATCTATCAGTTGTGAAATATCAGGTGACTTTGGGCTCACTCAACCGATCGATCAATCCATCTGATATATATGTTTTAATACAATTTGTAACCCCCTTTTGCTTGGCGAGGGATACATATACATCCTGGCATTTAGGAAAGACTAGGAGGGAGACTCAAAGTTGTGAAAACATTAGACACCTTGGTGTTTTCTGGCTCACTCTATTGATTGATCAGTCTGATATAGATGTTTAATATCCTTTGTATCCTCCTTTGGCTTTGCAAGATATACATACATACATATATACTGGTATGTGTGTGTGTATAATGTATATATGTATGTGCATATATACACACACACATACACACACACTACCCGTCCCCTGCCACATGTTGCTGTGGCCCACATGGGGATTCTGTGTGGGAGGTTTGGCCCAATTCTCTCGTTGGTGGGGTTCAGAATGCTCTGTGATTGTAGGTGAACTATATATCCCAGCAACTACTACTCCCAAATGTCCCCAAACTCCACCAGTGTTCACATTTGGGCATATTAAGTATTCGTGTAGAGTGCAGATCCATCATTGTTTGAGTCCACAGTGATCTCTGGATGTAGGTGAACTACAACTCCAAAACCAAAGGACACTGCCCACCAATCCCTTCCAGTATTTTCTGTTGCTCATGGGAATCCTCTGTGCCATGTTTGGTTCAATGCCATCGTTAATAAGGTTTAGAATGCTCTTTGATTGGAGGTGAACTATAAATCCCTGCAACTACAACTCCCAAATGACAAAAATCACAAAATCAATTTTTTTTGAGTGAAGGACATACATTGGGTTGTTAGGTGTCGTGTGTCCAAATTTGGTGTCAATTCGTCCAGTGGTTTTTGAGTTCTGTTAATCCCACAAACGAACATGACATTGTTATTTATATAGAAGATACATATACACACACCAAATGCCAGTCTGTGTGTGTATACATACACACACAGAGACAGACAAACTGGCATTTAGGAGAGACTAGAGGCGAGTCTCAAAATTAGGAAAACATCAGCCGCCTTGGTAACTTTTGGCTGATTCTATTGATTGATCATCTGATATAGATGTTTAATATCCCTTGTTTCCTCCTTTTACTTGCATATTTATTGATTTCCCGTGTTTCTATCTCGTCCTTCTCAACCTCTAAAGGTTGTACATACATACAATTTTTCCCATGGCATGTGTACGTGTGTATACACACACACACACACACACACAGAGGCATTTAGGAGAGGCGAGAGGCGGAGACTCAAAGTTAGGAAAACATCAGCCGCCTTGGTGGCTTCTGGCTGATTCTATTGATTGATCAATCTATCTGATATAGATGATTGATATCACTTGTATCCTCCTTTTGTTTGGCAAGACATACAAACACAGATACAATTTCTTCCAGTGGCATGACTGTGTATACATACATACAGAGAAACTGGTATTTAGGATTGGCTAGAGGGGAGTCTCAAAGTTAGGATCAGTCTATTGATCACTCTATTGATTGATCAATCCACCTGATCTATATGTTCAAGATCTCTGGTGCCCTCCTTTTGTTTGGCAAGATAGACATACAGACACAAGAAGCATTTCCAAGGCATGTAGGGGAGACTGGAGGGGAGACCCAAAGTTGTGAATCCTCAGGTGAGGGGGGGACTTGTACCTGGCTCTCTGGATCTACCTGTCCCACACCTGCTTCCTCTGGTGCTCTCCTTTTGCTTGGCAGGGTATGCATACAGACACAACAAGACATTTCCAAGGCATGTAGGGGAGACTCGAAGGGAGACCCAAAGTTGTGAATCCTCAGGTGAGGGGGGGACTTGTACCTGGCTCTCTGGATCTACCTGTCCCACACCTGCTTCCTCTGGTGCCCTCCTTTTGCTTGGCAGGGTATGCATACAGACACAACAAGACATTTCCAAGGCATGTAGGGGAGACTCGAAGGGAGACCCAAAGTTGTGAATCCTCAGGTGAGGGGGGGACTTGTACCTGGCTCTCTGGATCTACCTGTCCCACACCTGCCTCCTCTGGTGCCCTCCTTTTGCTTGGCAGGATATGCATACAGACACAACAAGACATTTCCAAGGCATGTAGGGGAGACTCGAAGGGAGACCCAAAGTTGTGAATCCTCAGGTGAGGGGGGGACTTGTACCTGGCTCTCTGGATCTACCTGTCCCACACCTGCCTCCTCTGGTGCCCTCCTTTTGCTTGGCGGATGGACATACAGACACAACAAGACATTTCCAAGGCATGGAGGGGAGACCAGAGACCAGAGACCAGAGCCAAAGTTGTGAATCCTCAGGTGAGGGGGGGACTTGTACCTGGCTCTCTGGATCTACCTGTCCCACACCTGCTTCCTCTCCTTGTCCCCCTCCTTTTTTTCTCTCTCTCTCCTTGGGGGGGGGGACCCCAGGGGGCCCACCTGCCTTACCTGCCTATTTCTTCACCCTCCTCCTCCTCCTCCTTCACCTGGGACCTGCTTGCCACGGGAAAGGCCACCAGGTAGCACCGAGTGAGCAGCAGCAGCCCTTGGGCTGGGCGAGAGGGAGGAAGGAGCCCGGCTTCCGCAGGGAGGAGCTTCCCCAGGGACAGGGCCAGGAGGGGCGGGGCCAGGAGGGACTCACCTGTCTCGGCCAGGTGAGCCCACCTGTCTTCCCCTCCTAAACCACGCCCCTCTATGAGGAAACGCCCTCCTCGCCCCCTCCCACTGGGGAATTTTGAGACACACCCCTTTTACCTGAGACACACCTGGGCCTGGGCAAGACAGCCACGCCCCTCCTCATTACCTGCTTCGAACCGGATTATCTGAGTCCACACTGGCATATAATCCGGTTCAAAGCAGACCCTCTGGATTTCATATGGCAGTGTGGAAATGGCCTACACACTACCACTGCTCTGAACCGGATTATAATGCAGTATGGACTCAGATATTCCAGTTCAAAGCAGATAATCAGGATTATTCCATTTGATAATCTGGATTATTACATGACCTCTTAGATAAGGCCTCACTGTCAATTTACACTGCCATATGCTCTGAACCGGATTATATGGCAGTGAGGACTCTGATAATCCGGTTCAAAGCTAGATAATCAGGATTATTCCATTTGATAATCTGGATTATTACATGACCTCTTAAATAAGGCATCACTGTCCATTTATACTGCCATATGCTCTGAACCGGATTATATGGCAGTGTGGACTCAGATAATCCGGTCAAGTCATAATCAGGATTATTCCATTTGATAATCTGGATTATTTCATGACCTCTTAGATAAGGCCTCACTGTCAAGCTATGGTGCCAAAGAGAATGCAGTTTGGGGCCACTTGAACTATGGAATCCTGGAAGTTGTAGTTTGCTGAGCACTGTTTGAAAGAGAATGCAGAACTACAACTCCCATGGAATTGTGGGAGTTGTAGTTTTGCAAGGTCTCGAGCCTACTCTGGGGCTTCGCTAAACTACACCTCCCAGCATTGCATAGCATTAAAGCAAGGGCCTGTAATGAGGTGTCAAACTGTATTCATTTCAACAGAATCCTGGGAGTTGTAGTTTGCTGAGCACTGTTTGAAAAAGAATGCAGAACTACAACTCCCACGGTTCTGCTGCACTTATACTGCAGAACCAATGCTGTCTGTGGCCATTTTCAATGCCTTATGGAATTGTGGGAGTTGTAGTTTTGCAAAGTCTCGAGCCTACTCTGGGGCCTCGCCAAACTACACCTCCCAGCATTGCATAGCATTAAGGCAAGGGCCTGAAAAGAGGTGTCAAACTGCATTTATTTCTGCAAAATCCTGGGAGTTGTAGTTTGCTGAGCACTGTTTGAAGGAGAATGCAGAACTACAACTCCCATGGAATTGTGGGAGTTGTAGTTTTGCAAGGTTTCGAGCCTACTCTGGGGCCTCGTCAAACTATAACTCCCAGCATTGCATAGCATTAAAGCAAGGGCCTGAAAAGAGGTGTCAAACTGCATTTATTTCTGCAAAATCCTGGGAGTTGTAGTTTGCTGAGCACTGTTTGAAGGAGAATGCAGAACTACAACTCCCATGGAATTGTGGGAGTTGTAGTTTTGCAAGGTTTCGAGCCTACTCTGGGGCCTCGCCAAACTACACCTCCCAGCATTGCATAGCATTAAAGCAAGGGCCTGAAAAGAGGTGTCAAACTGCATTTATTTCTGCAAAATCCTGGGAGTTGTAGTTTGCTGAGCACTGTTTGAAGGAGAATGCAGAACTACAACTCCCATGGAATTGTGGGAGTTGTAGTTTTGCAAGGTTTCGAGCCTACTCTGGGGCCTCGTCAAACTATAACTCCCAGCATTGCATAGCATTAAAGCAAGGGCCTGAAAAGAGGTGTCAAACTGCATTTATTTCTGCAAAATCCTGGGAGTTGTAGTTTGCTGAGCACTGTTTGAAGGAGAATGCAGAACTACAACTCCCATGGAATTGTGGGAGTTGTAGTTTTGCAAGGTTTCGAGCCTACTCTGGGGCCTCGTCAAACTACAACTCCCAGCATTGCATAGCATTAAAGCAAGGGCCTGAAAAGAGGTGTCAAACTGCATTTATTTCTGCAAAATCCTGGGAGTTGTAGTTTGCTGAGCACTGTTTGAAGGAGAATGCAGAACTACAACTCCCATGGAATTGTGGGAGTTGTAGTTTTGCAAGGTTTCGAGCCTACTCTGGGGCCTCGCCAAACTACACCTCCCAGCATTGCATAGCATTAAAGCAAGGGCCTGAAAAGAGGTGTCAAACTGCATTTATTTCTGCAAAATCCTGGGAGTTGTAGTTTGCTGAGCACTGTTTGAAGGAGAATGCAGAACTACAACTCCCATGGAATTGTGGGAGTTGTAGTTTTGCAAGGTTTCGAGCCTACTCTGGGGCCTCGTCAAACTATAACTCCCAGCATTGCATAGCATTAAAGCAAGGGCCTGAAAAGAGGTGTCAAACTGCATTTATTTCTGCAAAATCCTGGGAGTTGTAGTTTGCTGAGCACTGTTTGAAGGAGAATGCAGAACTACAACTCCCATGGAATTGTGGGAGTTGTAGTTTTGCAAGGTTTCGAGCCTACTCTGGGGCCTCGTCAAACTATAACTCCCAGCATTGCATAGCATTAAAGCAAGGGCCTGAAAAGAGGTGTCAAACTGCATTTATTTCTGCAAAATCCTGGGAGTTGTAGTTTGCTGAGCACTGTTTGAAGGAGAATGCAGAACTACAACTCCCATGGAATTGTGGGAGTTGTAGTTTAGCAAGGTCTCGAGCTTGCTCTGGGGCCTCGCCAAACTACACCTCCCAGCATTGCATAGCATTAAAGCAAGGGCCTGCAAAGAGGTGTCAAACTGCATTTGTTTCTACAGAATCCTGGGAGTTGTAGTTTGCTGAGCACTGTTTGAAAGATAATGCAGAATCCTGGGATTCTGCCATATAAAATCCAGATTGTCTGGCTTTGAACTGGATTATATGGCAGTGTAGACTGATATAATCCAGTTCAAAACAGATAATCTGGATTATCTGCTTTGATAATCTGGATTATATGGCAGTCTAGAAAGGGACATAGAATCAGAGTTGGAAGGGACCCCAAAGGCCATTTAGTCCAACCTTCTGATTGTTATTATTATTATGTATTTATACTCGGCTTTATCTCTCCCGAAGCGGATTGGAGTCACAGTCACCAAGCCTCATTTATTTGTTGTGTCAGGACAACCAGTCAATTATATTACATTTCTAACAGAACAAAGCAAACAAACAGACAAAGTACAAAATTTGTGAGATTGGTAGTTGATTAAATGTCCTTTGACCAATAGCTGGCCACTTGGAGTGCCTCTGGTGTTGCCGCAAGAAGGTCCTCCATTGTGCATGTGGCAGGGCTCAGGTTGCATTGCAGCAGGTGGTCAGTGGTTTGCTCTTCTCCGCACTCGCATGTCGTGGACTCCACTTTGTGGCCCCATTTCTTAAGGTTGGCTCTGCATCTCGTGGTGCCAGAGCGCAGTCTGTTCAGCGCCTTCCAAGTCCCAGTCTTCTGTGTGCCCAGGGGGGAGTCTCTCATTTGGTATCAGCCATTGGTAGAGGTTCTGGGTTTGAGCCTGCTACTTTTGGACTCTTGCTTGCTGGGGTGTTCCAGCGAGTGTCTCTGTAGATCTTAGAAAACTATGTCTACATTTAAGTCATTGATGTGCTGGCTGATACCCAAACAGAGGATGAGCTGGAGATGTCTCTGCCTTGGTCCTTTCACTATTGGCTGCAACTTCCCGGCGGATGTCAGGTGGTGCAATACCGGCTAAGCAGTGTAATTTCTTCAGTGGTGTAGGGCGCAGACACCCTGTGATAATGCGGCATGTCTCATTAAGAGCCACATCCACTGTTTTAGCGTGGTGAGATGTGTTCCACACTGGGCATGCATACTCAGCAGCAGAGTAGCATAGCGCAAGGGCAGATGTCTTCACTGTATCTGGTTGTGATCCCCAGGTTGTGCCAGTCAGCTTTCGTATGATATTGTTTCTAGCACCCACTTTTTGCTTGATGTTCAGGCAGTGCTTCTTGTAGGTAAGAGCACGGTCCAGAGTGACTCCCAGGTATTTGGGTGTGCTGCAGTGCTCCAGTGGGGTTCCTTCCCAGGTGATCTTCAGAGCTCGGGATGCTTCTCTGTTCTTGAGATGAAAGGCACATGTCTGTGTTTTAGATGGGTTGGGGATCAGCTGGTTTTCCCTGTAATAGGCAGTAAGAGCACCTAGAGCTTCGGAAAGCTTCTGTTCTCCACCCTATAAGAATAGAGCTTCGGAGAGCTTCTGTTCAACCATCTCAAAGCTCCCTGCTTGGGTGGTGATGGCACAATCATCAGCATAGATGAAACTCTCTGTCCCTTCTGGCAGTGGCTGGTCATTTGTGTAGATGTTGAACGTGGATGGAGCAAGCACGCTCCCCTGAGGCAGGCCGTTCTTCTGTTTCCGCCATCTGCTTCTCTGGCCCTGGAACTCAACAAAAAAGCTCCTGTTTTGTAGCAGGCTTTCTACAAGCCACATGATTTGATTTGATTCCTCACCAAACTCTAAAACGTCGCGTCCCCTTTAAGAGCCAGGCCACGCCCTTAACTCCTCCTCCTTTCTATTTTCCCCGCCCCTTTTCTAAACCGTCGAGTCTCCTTTAAGAGCCAGGCCACGCCCTTAACTCCTCCTCCTTTCTATTTTCCCCGCCCCTTTTCCTTTCTGTTTTCTCAGCTGAGAAAAGATCTAGCGCAGATGAACGACCGATTGCGTCATGGCGTGGGCGGAGTTATGCAGAAATAAGTGGGCGTGCGTTCTGTCGGCCAATCAAAACTCTCCGTTCGCTGTCACTCAAGCCGGGACCTTAGAGATAGAAATTAAAGAGTGATGCACCATTGTTTTCCTTAGGAGGAACGACCGATTGCGTCATGGTGTGGGCAGAGTTATGCAGAAATAAGTGGGCGGGCGTTTCGTTGCCCAATCAAAACTGTCCATTCGCTGTCGCTCAAGCCGGGACCTTAGAGATAGAAATTAAAGAGTGATGCACCATTGTTTTCCTTAGGAGGAACGACCGATTGCGTCATGGTGTGGGCGGAGTTATGCAGAAATAAGTGGGCGGGCGTTTCGTTGCCCAATCAAAACTGTCCATTCGCTGTCGCTCAAGCCGGGACCTTAGAGATAGAAATAAAAGAGTGATGCACCATTGTTTTCCTTAGGAGGAACGACCGATTGCGTCATGGCGTGGGCGGAGTTATGCAGAAATAAGTGGGCGTGCGTTCTGTCGGCCAATCAAAACTCTCCGTTCGCTGTCGCTCAAGCCGGAACCTTAGAGATAGAAATTTAGAGTGATGCACTATTGTTTTCCTTAGGAGGAATCTTCGCTTGCTGCTGCTGGTATCTGTGGTCTTAACAACAGCCTTGCAAGGTAGGCCAGGCAGGCAAAAAGGTCCAAAGACCTTTGGAATATTGATCTTTGTACTGGGACTGATTAGCAATTGAATCAATGGAATAAACATGGCCTTCTGATATTCCCATTCTTTCCATTGGCATGGACAGTTCTGGTCCAGTTGTGCAGAATGATGGGCTTTGTAATCCCAATAAACCCTATAATAAGGAATGAATGGAAAACTGAATTTGCTATTGTTTTTAATGTGTCTTTCCAGGAAAGCTGTGGCTGTATTTTGGAATAGTTTATAGAATCCTAAAATTGGAGGAGAGACCCCCAAAGGCCATCTAGTCCAACCCTTTTCTGCAAGGCAGGAAGACACAATATGATCCCTCCCAACAGATGGCCATCCAGCCTCTGCTTAAAAGCAACCCCATCAGCATAGATTTTGCTAAAAGGAGGAGAGGCAGGAAGACACAATATGATCCCTCCCAACAGATGGCCATCCAGCCTCTTTTTAAAAGCAACCCCATCAGCATAGATTTTGCTAAAAGTTGACCCAAGGATCATCTAGTCCAACCCACATCTACCATGCAAGAAAACACAATCAAAACCCTCCCGACAGATGGCCATCCAGTGTCGGCTTAGAAACCTCCTGAGAAAGAACCTCTACCAGGCAGCAAATTATTATTATTATTATTATTATTATTATTAGGAAACTCTACCAGGCAACAGCATATTATTATTATTATTATTATTATTATTATTATTATTAGGAAACTCTACCAGGCAGCAGCATATTATTATTATTATTATTATTATTATTATTATTAGGAAACTCTACCAGGCAGCAGCATATTATTATTATTATTATTATTATTATTATTATTATTATTATTATTATTAGGAAACTCTACCAGGCAGCAGCATATTATTATTATTATTATTATTATTATTATTATTATTATTATTATTATTATTATGTTTTCCGCTCACAAACTGCTCTGATCATTGGAGCTGTCCTTGTGGGTAAAGTTGTTTCCTAAGAATGCATCCGCACTGCAGAAGGAATGCAGTTTGACACCACTTTGGAATGTCTCGAGGCTATGAAATCCTGGGAGTTGTAGTTTTGCAAGGCCCTTAGCCTTCTCTGCCAAAGAGAGCTGGGACTTGCGCACAGATTGTTGGATAGAATCCGAATCATCGATGGCCCAAACGTCCAATTAGAAATACCTGGTCAACTGTGCCGATAAGGAGACACACACACACATATATATGGCTGCTTTGAGTCCTTATAGAGAGAAAAAGTAGGGTACAGATAAACACCATAATAATAATAATAATAATAATAATAATAATAATAATAATAGCCTTCGGAGACAGAAGAAGAGAGGAGAGAAGAGTGGAGCTTCAGATACCTTTCTTTGGTAGTTTTTGAACTGCCTTCGGAGACAGAAGGAGGGAAGAGAGAAGAGTGGAGCTTCAGAGATTTTCCTTTTGTAGGTTTTGAACTGCCTTCGAAGAAAGAAGGAGGGAGAGAAGAGTGGAGCTTCAGAGACCTTCCTTTTGTAGTTTTTGAACTGCCTTTGAAGAAAGAAGGAGGGAGGAGAGAAGAGTAGAGCTTCAGAGCTTCTTTCTGTAGCTTTAGAACTGCTTTCGGAGACAGAAGGAGGGAGGAGAGAAGAGTAGAGCTTCAAAGAATTTCCTTTTGTAGGTTTTGAACTGCCATTGGAGAAACAAGGGAAGAGAGAAGAGTGGAGCTTCAGAGACGTCCTTTTGTAGTTTTTGAACTGCCTTTGGAGAAAGAAGGGAAAGAAGAATAGAGACCTTCCTTTTGTAGTTTTTGAACTGCCTTTGGAGAAAGAAGGAGGGAAGAGAGAAGAGTGGAGCTTCAGTGACGTCTTTTTGTAGTTTTTGAACTGCCTTTGGAGAAAGAAGGGAGAGAAGAGTAGAGCTTCAGAAACGTCCCTTTATAGTTTTTGAATTGCATTCGGAGACAGAAGAAGGGAAGAGAGAAGAGTGGAGCTTCCGAGACGTCCTTTTGTAGTTTTTGAACTGCCTTTGGAGAAAGAAGGAGGGAGAAGAGTGGAGCTTCACAGACCTTCCTTTGGTAGTTTTTGAACCACCTTTGGAGAAAGAAGGAGGGAGAGAAGAGTGGAGCTTCACAGACCTTCCTTTGGTAGTTTTTGAACTGCATTTGGAGACAGAAGGAGAGAAGAGAGAAGAGTGGAGCTTCAGAGACATCCTTTTGTAGATTTTGAACTGCCTTCGGAGACAGAAGGAGGGAGAGAAGGGTCGAGCTTCACAGACTTTCCTTTTGTAGTTTTTGAACTGCCTTTGGAGACAGAAGGAGAGAGGAGAGAAGAGTGGAGCTTCAGAGACATCCCTTTATAGTTTTTGAACTATATTCGGAGACAAGAAGGAGGGGGGAGAGAAGAGTGGAGCTATAGAGACTCCTAGCTGCTTTGAGTCTCTTTGTGGGGATAAAAGGTGGGGTATAGATAAACATAATAATTATTATAATAACCATAAATAATAATTATCTATATTTATTATTATTATTATTATTATTATTATTATATATATAATTATATATATTTATAATAATATATATAAGAATGGGAAAAGGGATGAGTAGGAAGAAGCAGCAACCAGGATCCGTTCCGGAGGTTATTTGCACATCAATGGCAGACCAATGGCACAGTGGAAACCAAATTCGTCACGCTATGGAAGAACCCAAACATGATCCTATTTGGAAGTAAGTTCTTATTATCTTTGCCATAATTTATTTCTGTGATGCCAACACATTGTCTATGGGTGCATCTGCAGTTTGCATTCATGATTGTATTTGGAGGTATGTTTTTATTTTATTTTTGTCTTAATTTATTTGTGTGATGCATTTTCCTTGATGCAAACGTATTATCCCAGGGTGCATCTGCACTGTAGAATTAATGCAGTTTGACCCCACTTTAACTTCCCTGTTGCAATGCGATGGGGAGAGAGATTTAAAAGAGGTTTGTATGATTTATTTATCCCAGAGGTGGGTTTAAAAGAGGTTCTTGTTCCTTATTATTATTATTATTATTATTAGATGCACAACAACATTGCTACACAGCCAAAACGATTCTTATGCTGGCTGTTGTATTTGATCACACATTGGACACTTCGCAAGTGTGTAGGACTGTGTGATGTATCGGTGAATAATGCATGCAGATCCAAGCAGGGTGGCCTTTTGCAGGGTCATTTTGTCAGCACCGATTGTTTTTAAGTGCAGGCCAAGGTCTTCAGGTACCTCACCCAGTGTGCCGATCACCACTGGGACTACCTTGACTGGCTTGTGGCAGTGTTGTTGTTGTTGTTGTTGTTGTACTGGCCAATCACCACTGGGACCACCTTGACTGGTTTGTGGCAGTGTTGTTGTTGTTGTTGTACTGGCCGATAACCACTGGGACCACCTTGACTGGCTTGTGGCAGTGTTGTTGTTGTTGTTGTACTGGCCGATCACCACTGGGACCACCTTGATTGGCTTGTGGCAGTGGTGTTGTTGTTGTTGTTGTACTGGCCGATCACCACTGGGACCACCTTGACTGGCTTGTGGCAGTGTTGTTGTTGTTGTTGTACTGGCCGATCACCACTGGGACCACCTTGACTGGCTTGTGGCAGTGTTGTTGTTGTTGTTGTTGTACTGGCCGATCACCACTGGGACCACCTTGACTGGCTTGTGGCAGTGTTGTTGTTGTTGTTGTACTGGCCGATCACCACTGGGACCACCTTGACTGGCTTGTGGCAGTGTTGTTGTTGTTGTTGTACTGGCCGATCACCACTGGGACCACCTTGACTGGCTTGTGGCAGTGTTGTTGTTGTTGTTGTACTGGCCGATCACCACTGGGACCACCTTGACTGGCTTGTGGCAGTGTTGTTGTTGTACTGGCCGATCACCACTGGGACCACCTTGACTGGCTTGTGGCAGTGTTGTTGTTGTTGTTGTTGTACTGGCCGATCACCACTGGGACCACCTTGACTGGCTTGTGGCAGTGTTGTTGTTGTTGTTGTACTGGCCGATCACCACTGGGACCACCTTGACTGGCTTGTGGCAGTGTTGTTGTTGTTGTTGTACTGGCCGATCACCACTGGGACCACCTTGACTGGCTTGTGGCAGTGTTGTTGTTGTTGTTGTTGTACTGGCCGATCACCACTGGGACCACCTTGACTGGCTTGTGGCAGTGTTGTTGTTGTTGTTGTACTGGCCGATCACCACTGGGACCACCTTGATTGGCTTGTGGCAGTGGTGTTGTTGTTGTTGTTGTACTGGCCGATCACCACTGGGACCACCTTGACTGGCTTGTGGCAGTGTTGTTGTTGTTGTTGTTGTACTGGCCGATCACCACTGGGACCACCTTGACTGGCTTGTGGCAGTGTTGTTGTTGTTGTTGTACTGGCCGATCACCACTGGGACCACCTTGACTGGCTTGTGGCAGTGTTGTTGTTGTTGTTGTACTGGCCGATCACCACTGGGACCACCTTGACTGGCTTGTGGCAGTGTTGTTGTTGTTGTTGTACTGGCCGATCACCACTGGGACCACCTTGACTGGCTTGTGGCAGTGTTGTTGTTGTTGTTGTACTGGCCGATCACCACTGGGACCACCTTGACTGGCTTGTGGCAGTGTTGTTGTTGTTGTTGTACTGGCCGATCACCACTGGGACCACCTTGACTGGCTTGTGGCAGTGTTGTTGTTGTACTGGCCGATCACCACTGGTGCCACCTTGACTGGCTTGTGGCAGTGTTGTTGTTGTTGTTGTTGTACTGGCCGATCACCACTGGGACCACCTTGACTGGCTTGTGGCAGTGTTGTTGTTGTTGTTGTACTGGCCGATCACCACTGGGACCACCTTGACTGGCTTGTGGCAGTGTTGTTGTTGTTGTTGTACTG